TGAATTTAAATTTGAATGAACGCTGGTGTTATATGAATGCATCGCTTGCATGCGATGCATTCATGTAACACTCGCTACATTAGCTATGGATCAAGTGTTTCATTGCTGAATTAAAATTCAGATAAATGCTTGGAGAATGATGATCGACGACGAGCTGTTCTTTCCATAAATGATTTCCAGTGACCTAATTATATTGTTTCAAAACCCTATCTTTATGTTGCAAATTAAAGTGCTCATTGCTGGTGTGCATCAGCAGGAAAACGTTTGTCAAAAAAAAGGAAGTAATGTTATCGAGAATTGAATGCACACACTATTCTTTGTTCACCGCAGTGTTCGTATGCTTTTTGCATTGGATGCCCGCGTTTACGGTTCGCGTTAATGTTGCTTACGTGGGTTGGCCTTGTTTTTCATCTTCTGAGATATAGTAGCAGCAACAATAGCACTAGTATTTCGTCCGATTGTAGTGATAATACGAAATAACTTCTTCAACTGGATTCGATTCAGTGCACTTCGAAACGTTCGCATTCAAGTATTCTTAACGGTAAATTTGCACACTTTCCGACCTGCTTGATTTTAACTCTTTGGTCATCATTGAGCAGGGCAGGAGGACGTCATGAACGAAATTGCTGCTAACAATTTGTACTCTTCACAAATGCAAATATGAAAAATCAGTAACTTTGTCGCATATTATGAATTGCTTCATTTTATAAGATCATGAATAAAATCACAATGACAGATGCAATTAAATTTATTCATTATGATCAAAACGTTTTTTTTATATGATCAATTTATTAATGTCATCATTAATTGTGCTAACGCATTCGTGTTTTGAACGGAGAGGAGAGAATGAGACGATTGCAACTCAATCGATGCATCAATTTTCGTTCTTTTTTTGCTTATGTAGAGGAAGAGCGCTGCGCCAGTCCCTTTTTGCGATCCGTTGTAACTAACTTTGAAGAAGAGTGGAAAATGATAATGCGATTGAAAATCGCGACATTACGACCTCATTTCTGGTCAAATATTTGTAGTTTTATTTTTTATTTTTTGATTCCTTCAATGAATTTCTTCAATTGATCAGAATTCTAAACCGTATTCACCATTCACTGAAACAAATTCATATGGTGCGATATCATTTGAAGATTGTGTTTTTTTCTTCAGTTTCATCGTAATGTCCATTTATCGTTGCTGAGTGTAAAAGCTTAGATTGGATTTTACACTCTCTTCATTATTTGCATTATGCGCTGATCAGTGCTTATCGTTGTTCGTCTATTAAAAAACCTGTTCGTCATATGTGAACCAATCGACAATGTACGTCATTTTTGTTATGCTCAAACATCTGAAGCGTTCATTCGAGTCTGTTTGAATAGTGCTTCATGTTTTCTTCAGTTCCTTTCCTCTTGGTCATCAATTCATCCCCTTTGTGATACAACGAGACACTTACTTTTCAGCAAAAAAAGTCGCTGTACGAGAAATTTTGATGAGGAAAGTTAGAAGTAGCTGATAAGAGATGGCTGCTATTAAGTGGTGTCAATTACATCGGAAAGGCTGATAAAATTTGAAGTAGGAATAAGTAAACTTTTCACGCTACTTTTGTAAGTATTTTGCTTCAGTGTATATCAGCATCGATTGTCTTTGATCGTAGCAAGTTGCCAGTTACTTATCAAAGAATGTGAACTGTTCGTTCACATTTCGTTTGGAGTGAATTCTACTTCGATTCTCCTATTACAGTTAATTATCTGTATTCGTTGAAAGTTTTATGATCGTAGTGCAGAACATATTATCAACTGCAATAGCGTTGATTGCTTCGATTGATATGATGGCGGACGTTTCAGCGAACTTCTCTTAGATATACTGTTGAGAGTTCAGCGAACGAAAAAACTTCGATTGTTTCACACTAATTACTAAAAATCAACATGAGTGCTCATTGCATTCCATATTTTCTTCGTTAAATGCACTGTCTGAACACTTTCTCAAAATTTTTATTTCTTGATTTCGTTTTTTTTCTGTCTTTCCATTGTCATAGAACCAACGAACCTATTTCTTCAGTCAGTTTCGACCTATTGTTGGCATTCTTTTCATTCATACCACTTACTTCATTTCATATTTATGCACAAGTGCTATTTGTATTATGTTTGACAGTTGCTCTAAATATTTTCGAAAGCATCCACACTGCTCCAATTGATTTGATTCAGTTTGATGGAGTACTATTAATTTCACGCTACAGTGATGAACGTCTGCTCGTATCTATCGTTATTAACGCTAAAAGTTCACATCATCCGTCTCGATTTGTCTTCAACTTCGATTTTTACCACTGCAATCGTGTTATTTTTCTTTGCAATTTAATTCAATGAACAATTTATTGTCGACGTACGATAGCACTATCCGCGTGCATGTTTATGTACAACATTCTCAGACTTGCTCTTATTTGTACCTATGTTTACGAATAATTGTTCTTTTGTTCTGAATAGGGCCCGTGCATATACTGTTCGATAATTAGCAGGTGTGAAAATATTCACACGATCTCTACAGTGCATCTTTTATATGTGCTACAATTTTGGAGTTCATTGCTATTTGAGCAGAAATAGAATTGTCTGCTGTTTTATGCCTTATGTTGATTCCTGATTGATATTATCGTTATGGGGGTGACTGAAAGGATTGTTTCAGTATCCTACAAGCAATTGAATAGTGTTTGTCGAGATGTTCGATTATCTCCGTAACAAATCCAGCAAGATTTTTCTACTACTTGAATATTGACCATTTTGAATGCAAACGAAGACTCGAAAATTAAGGTTTATCAACCAACTTCTGTAATGATTATGGATGTTGTCTATGTCTTCTATTGCATCTGAAAAGGACTCATTAATCAGTGCATGATTGAAAGAACACACGTTATTGTCATCATGCATTTAGAAACTTCCTAAAAAACCCAACGTCAACAGTTCGTCTTATATTAAAACCACTGAATGAGGTCATATTCGCATAACAGTTGTGCTCAATAGGAAAAAGTTGAACTGGAATTTTTTATTCGTGTCGTTCAGAGTGATGCAATTAAAATGAATGTTTCATGGATGTGTATTGATCATAACAGCTACATGTCTACTTCAGAAATTCGAATGTTCAACAGCACAAGTTAAATGTTTAATGTTCAATAGCACATGGATGTGTATTGATCATAACAACCACATGCGTTCAGAAAATACTGCCAATCTGCACTTCTATGCGAAATTATCCCTGTGAGACATTGTTCCATGTACTAATGAGAGATTTTTTCTTGCCTCCTTCATGTTCCAAAAAATCTGTCATTGTTGTGAACTTAGCACACGATTAATAAGATAGCAACAGGCGCAATAATGAGGTGTGTATTTTTGGAAATCATATAAACCATTGGTGTTTGTAGTAGTGATAGCATGGTGTGCCCTCGCTGTTCAGTTGTTATTTGTGTTTTTAGACTCGTTTAATCGTTCGCCATATTCATATCCTGTTTCACATTTGCTGACACATTCATTTGATGAGAATAAAGAACAAGACGCATTCGTTTACTGATGTCTTTTTTTGATATAACTGAGATAATAACGTTATATGCAATACGCTTTGAAATATTGTCAGTCGAACTAACCACTCGATGATAAGTTCACGTGGATTTTGCGTTTATCGCTTGATGCTTTTTGAACTTCATTGAATCTGTGATTTATGTTAGCATATAATTGAAAGAAGCGGGATTAGCACATCTGCAATTGCATGCCGTATTGAGGATCAAATCGGTTCCATTGACTTTAAACAGCCGCGGCACTGCAAACAGCAGAATACATATGCGTTTGAGAGCAATGTAACGCACCACATCCGTCGCTAATGGGATGAATGACAAAATAAACGCTCCATAAAGGTGATATTTGATGCGTTCGCTTTGATTGCACAACAAACAGTTGATTCTGAGCTATTAATGATTGAATAATGCTGATTTTTATTGCCGTATCATTGTCATTTGCTTCCAAAAAAAGTCGCCAAAAAATCGAACCAAAGAGAGTAGTTTCTAACAAACGGCAACAAGTGTATTTGATATACGTTTTGATCGTTGAAATTCATCAACACGAAAACAAATTCCTATACCAATTCGTCATTCTTACCACACTCTTTCTATCTCGCCATCAAATTCGTTCTTTTTCTTCAGCGTCCAATTGGTTGGACAGCACTAAATCGTTTCGTTATCATTTTATCATTCAATCACGGCTGTCTTTTGAAGATGTTGGCAAGTTTCACTGTATATTTTCTTATCATGGCATTGATGTTGAAGAAGCATCGGAGATTCCATTTATTGTTTCGATTAATGTTCATCCAAATATCAATTAGCCGCTACATTGTTCATTGCAAACCAATTGATAGTTTCACTCCTTATTCAAACATTCTCATCAACCACAGTTTCTAATTGTCGATGTGTGCATCCTTATAGCTGCTGACTGATAAGAGATCCTTCCGTTTGCAGTCATTCGGAACAGTCTGAAACTGTGAAATCAACGGTCTTCATGATGTAGAGCAGATCAGGTTTAATTTTTGATGCAATGAAACTGGAAATGCTCTTTAATAAAAGTAGAGAGCTCATCGGTCAAATCGAACAAATTCTTCAGTGATGGTTTCCTTTTCGAACGATTATCAGTATTACAGCGAATGGGATGAAGGCTTCCCGATAGTATCATTCGAATGATGATCACACCCTGGGTCTGGCTTTCATTCGTGCGCTATGGAAAAAGAACATGTGTTGTTCGACGTATTAGCTGCATTGATTGTGAATACTTTCGTTTATCGTTGTGTTTTATTGTGTGTTCGCAGGATGAACGGATTAAAATATTCTGCAATTCAGTCGCAAATGAGAATCGCAATTTCTTCAGGATATTCATCCATCTTGTTCATTCAATCAATTACGTCTCATCGAGAGTGTATAAATGAAGCAATACGCTAGCATGTAGAAGGGTCATCGCCATTTTCACAACCATTCATTATTCATCATGCGTATTTATTTGAAACGTATCACCCTGTTCTTCTTGGCCGCCTTCTGCACTACTCTCGTTTTATTGTCGATCCCTAAAAGTGTATCGCATACAGGTTCGTACTTTTGCTTTCCTCCAGCACTTTCATGAGATGTGCTTTTTTTGCTACTTCTTCATAGTTTGATAAGGAATTTCCTTGATACCGTTGAGACATTAGTATTTGTTGGTTTGAACTTATGAAATTATTATGAGCAAGATACGTTTGTGAAATGCTGAGGTGAAATTGAACGTTAAATATGTTAAAGTAGTTTTAGCTTTTAGTGTGTTATGACTGTGCGATTTGAATTTCTGGAATGAAAAAAAATCATTGAAAGAGTATTGCTGATGAAGTAAAAAAAAACAATAAAAACTCAATTTAAAATAATCATCGAGCGCTGTTTGGAATTCAGATGATTTTGAGTGACGAGAAATAATCGAATAAAGTTCGAATTTTCTACATGTTTCCATAGTGACAAAAGTAGTTCAGCATGTTTTACACAAATTTCTTATCGTGTAGTTTAGATTGGGAACGAGAAAGCAGATTAGGACGTTTCACGCGTCCAAATGTACATATCAATAGGGGTGAGCATTTCGAGTCTCAACCCGCACCTCCAAGTTTACATATTTCGGGTGACTTACAACTGGTTAACAAGTATACGGGTTTTTCAGGTAACCGATCAGTCACAGTTTCACTTACAAATAAACCACAAATTTCAATTGTAGCATTTGCAATTTGTTCATATATTCAGGTCTCATCCCATTCATGTACTCTTGTTCAGTACTTGTGAAGATCTTAAGAGTAACCATTGTTTCAGATAGGGAAATTGATAATTTACTTGTCCAACGACTTGAAAATTACGTAAATGAACTAGATGTCGATGCGATGATTGCAAACGAGTGCAAAAATAATGAAACACTGAGGACGTTTTGGCTGAGGACCAAGGGGTAAGTATTGAACAATAAAGTTTTCACTGCGATAAATTCTGCAGTAGTTATCGTTGATGATCTCACGGTTCATTCAGTGGGAATGTTCCTGATAGAAATATTGATTAGATTCGTATTCGGCTTAGGCTTATTTGTGTCTCAGATTTGCAGTTTGCTAATCGAATATTTCTAGCGCTGATGTACCGCAAAGAGATTCATGGGAAAGATTTTATGCAGACATCGGAAGTTGTGACTTGTATAGAAACGAAGAGGTATGTTTCAAGCTTACTCGAATTTCATTTAAGTATTCATTTGTATTTGTAAAGTATTCATTTAAGTTGATAAAAGTATTTATTTGTGCTCAGACTAATCTGTTCTGATACTCAAGGAAAATGAATCTGAAAAGCTGAAGAACACGCCGTTCTGACGTTCTCCTGTTTGAGCGGGACAAATTTCCGCTCGAATTCAGGAGAAAACAGCAAGTTAAATCGTTGTTTTGTTTTGTTCTTCTATTTTGGGTCTCTTCGTTGGACCTTCCATAAAACAATATGCTAGTCAATATGCCAGCCATATCATATGAAAATGAAACACTGTCCGCAAAAACCAACTGTGAGTTGCATTGTTGGGAACGAATGCGAAACGTGGATGAAGCAGTGTAATATTGTTGAGGAATCGATCTAATTTTCGTTTGTGTAATATGAATTTCGCAGGTGTTGAACAACTTGTTACACGAACTGAATACGCTTCCAATCAAAAATGTTGCTATAATGGAAGGAGGCACTCAAGTGAAACTTATCTTGACGTTTGATAATGATGAACAAGCGGTCTTCAAACCTATGCGGTCCGTTCACTAATTTTCGACGTACATTAATTTCATTACAAAATAACCACTCAAATAATATTCACTATAGAGTTCAAAAGAGATCAACTATAGTGTTAATAACTCAACAATTGAGCAGGCAAGTTACAGGTTTGGACGAGATTATGAGACTGATCCCAATCATTTTTACTTCAGTGACTTCGAAAGGCATCATGCTGAAATCGCCACCTTTCATTTGGATAAGTATGATTTCTTTTAGAGTTTTCAACCTCCTTCTATAAGACTGCTACAAATTCAATAAATTTGTTTGAATTTTATTTAGAAGAAAAACTGGCAAAAGTAATAATTGTCACCTGCCGTGATGGTTCACAGTTTTGTTTGTTTACTCTAGGATACTGGGCTTCCGTCGAGCTGTTCCCACTGTTGGTCGCATATTGAATATGACAACAGAATTGCACGATAAGGCAGAAAAGCGGTTGAAAAAGACTTTCTTCATATCGCCAGGTAGTCTATTCAAAATTTTCGACGATATTCGATCAATATTCATTCAAATGATCTCTTGAAGTGATGTCAATCGTATTCGCTCGTTTCGTGATGTGCCTCAAAATAATCATAATGTTGAATTCAGTTTGATCATCAGTAGTTCAAATGGCTGCATCGCATCAACAAATGTTTTGAATGAGGTTACAGATCAGATCAAATAATAGCTATAAATTTTTAATTATCCACTGATTTATTCACCTATTTAGTAATCAATTCCAATTCATTACGGTCTCATGCCTCTCTGTTATCACCAATATCACATTCTTTCTTCCTTACTGTCTTTGTTTCTACGCAGCTAATGATAGCAATGCTGGAAACAATCTTTCTTCACCAATTTGTTCTCGACCGTTCAGTCAGCAATCATGAAAATTCCGCATTGAGCACTTAGGTTTGATCTTCCCATTCCGCCCAATAATTTCCAAAGAGGTGGATTTGAAACATATAATACCTAGAAAAAAGCACAATTTGGCCAAACGCTCAGCGATGAAACATCAACAGTCATTCCGAATCAATATTAGATTAAGAGTCATAAAAAGTCACCGTAAGTGCGTAACGATCGACCAAGTGACCCTCAGCGGCCATGCAACAACAAAGACTGAATGAATATTTGATATAAATAATCATTGTTGAGTAATAACCACCAGTTGTTATGAAATATTGAGGATAGCTATAAATAGGTAGATGCTGTGCATGAATAATTTTTTTCAGCTAAAAACCAGTGCTTCGTAAGCAAATGTGATTACTACTGTGATACAACGCATGCAATATGCGGATTGCCAGATATGAAAGAAGGTTCAGTGCAGGTGTTTTTGCCAGACGAGAACAATGTGCCTAGAAAACATAACAAATCACCATATCGAAGGTAGATTATTTATTAGATAATACGAATCATCTGTCAGCAATTAAAATCGCGATTAAAAGTAAACGTTATGAAGGCGTTGAACAGATCACATTGATTCCATAATACCTTGTGAACACTTTATTTTCTGATGTATCACAAGTGTGTGCTGGGCGTTTTGTGATCATAAACAAACACCTGCCACTAGGATTCATGCGTAAATTTGTTGCGTCTCAGTAAATGTTTATCGAGAATGCATGCGAAAGTGGAGTACACTGTATCATCAACTGCAGAACATATTCGAAACGGAATCAAATTGCTGAATGGCAACAAAATATGCAGTTTTGTACGTCAAAAGTGAAAACTAAAAAACAGTATGCGCATGGTAGAAGGCTGCTGGACTTGATCGATTTGCATATTATGGATTATTTGATTGGTAAGCGAATGCTGGTTTTCAAAGGCTTCTAACGAATGCACTGAAAAGTGTTGCGAAATCAGGCTATCTTGAAAGAGATTTTCAAGTGAATATTTTTTGAAGAAGAGTCGATTTTCAGGTTGATTATGACACAGTTTCTATATGTTCCGCGAAATTTAAGCATAGTTTATCACGTTTCAGGCAATCAAGACAGACATCATTTTGAGTCGTTTGCAGTCTTCGGTGACGCTCCATCGTACGCCATTCATTTGGACAATGGTCGTGCGTAAGTGATCATCTTTTGCATGATCGCTACTGCGTCTTCATGAACATTCACTGGCTGTTTCTTCGCAGTCTATTATTGTATATTCGAGTCTATCATATTTCAATGATTCCCTGTGTATTTCATCAGAAACCTTATCTGAAAGTTTTCTCGCAGATTTGGAAGAACGGATGTTGATGATGAGGACATAATTTTACCGTTACGTCAATGTTGTGTTGTGAGACCATCGACGTTGCGGACATTGCTGAAATACTATAAAGGACCGGTCTCACTAACAGAAGCACTGCATCAGTAAATTGATCTCTACTTAAATTTTGCCCTTCATGTTCATTTTGTACCACCAAGAAGAATTTCCACTTGTTCATAAATTTTAGAATCAAACCCATATCGATGATGTTTTCAAAACCATTCAGCGCTCCAGCATTCAGCTATTACCCATTCGTTTTTGATTGTTAGTAAACTGCTTTGATTTTTTTCCCTTGATTGACTGGATAAGCAGATAATTGTTTGGCGACTTCCTGACAGATCGATGTCGAATGATCCCGTAGCGCCGATCCTGGCAACAAAGCACTACCCGGCAATGGAGCGAAGGCTTCACAGCATCATGGAGTACGTTGACGAATGCATCAAAAAACATCCAGGTGGCATTAAAGGTGTCGTAATGGCTGAATATCACAGTAACGTAAGTTTGTCGTTTTGCTCCATGCCCGAATAATTCCTTAACAGTGCCACTGACTGCGTATTGGCAGACTCCCACTTCATACAGTCTCGAGGTTACAAGAAACTGATACATCACACTCTCGTCATGTTATTTATCCTACCGAATCAACTACACCATCTCATTATCGTTAATTATTTACCCACATACATATCCCAGCTGGTTTCTGTACTGATCCGTTCGTTATTTTTATGATTGCCATTGCTTATTATCATTACTGTTGTCATTGTTATTATTATTATTATTTTTATTATGATTGTTATTATGGTTTTTTAAAAATATTATTATCACCACATTTCTCATTATTGCTATATTTAATATTATCATAATCAGGAGCTTCAGGTATCCGCGGACGAATTGGCAGTGATGAATGAGACGAATGAAGATGATGAAGAGGATGAGAAAAACGGTCAGGCGAATAAGGAGAAACAAACATAGATAACTGATTCGAATATGGCTGTTTGTTATGTAATTTATTGTTGTTCTAATACTTGCGACCAATTGATTCCTTTCTAGCACCTTGTAAGTAATCTCATTCCGATCTCTCTCTCGCTCTCAATTTCATGTTCACCGTTTGGATTACGAGTCGGAATTCCTCCAATTTGCTTCTAGTAATTGCATTATTTCCTCCTCATTGCACAATTATACTATCACTATGCATTGCTACAATTTCATGTCATCATTAGTTGTTCGTTCATACACAAGTGCCACAACTGATTGCGATAGAACCAACAAAACTGATTGCTATTCTTCGTTCACGAAACTTAAAACATTTTCGAGGAATTCAGCCATTTAGAGGTGTTTTTTTCTTATCCTCATTGCTATTTTCTGCAGCTCTAAAGCATAATATATATGTCCACCTTTAATTTTTTGATTTGATGCAGTGCGTATCTTGTCAAAGAAATGTACAGCCGACTGACTCAATTGATGATATATTATGAAATTTATGCGTTTTCACCTATTGCATAGTTTTTTTCGCTACCTTCCACCCTAATGCACTGACTTCTGTTCGTGTTGGATCAATCCATTCTCAACTTATATTATTTGAATTTTAGTGCCTTATTATTGTTATCATTATTTACATATTGCATAGCTGTTTTTACAATCGATTATTTATTTGCATTTCGACTCAATAAGACAGTGGCGTAATGTTGCGTAATAATCAGCCAACATTCCTCATTGGATTGCTTTCAATGAATTGTACATTTTCAAAATCAATTGTTTCTCAGTACGGGATAGATTCGGACGCATGTTACGACACAAAAGCCAAAAAAGTGCAAAAATGTAGGTAAAAAATTCTAGGCAAACTTCTCAGCCTACGGTAAGTCTCCCTCAACCTTGCAATCGGTTGAAGTATTCAGTTAGGTATGGATGTATGCATTAAGCACATTCCCGTTTTTTTTTGTTCGCCACAGTGCTGTGAGTGTTGAATGTGAAACGGAATTTCCGAAGAATCTCGACATTTTTCGGCACATAATTCGATTGTACGTTGAAATTGTCACCATATGATTTTTGTTATTGTTTTGCAACCATTAAGACAGACTCGTCTTCCTCTTTTGTGATATTTTGTTAATTATGTCCCTTGTGTTGTTTTCCATGTTTGCTCAAGAATATTTTGAAACGACGTTGTGAAATTACGTTTTGAATTTCGATGTGATTTGATTTGAAATTTTATCGAGTTACGCGATCCGGCTCATCAGTCCACCCTTAAGTTTCAAATATAATATGCTACAAATTGCCCCTCATTGAACGAATGTTGCCAATAAAACGACAACTTCACGATGAGATAAATTCATTTATTCATTCACTGGTTCAGTTGTATTATCATTTCACTGGAATACTCATAGCATGATCATTTCATTGAATACTGCTCAACTGAATTGAACATTATTGAGTGTGAGTCGATAAAGCAAATGGATAAAGTTACCAACTAAACAAAAATGGAACATTGAGTTGTTAGTTCATCGCCTGCATGAGCTATTCTTCGGAAAACCAATCGTTGCACAGATCAAGAATCGAATAGTTTGTTTATGGTTGTGATCGATATATGCAGAATGCAGCGACTTCATTCGATGCTACACTTTTTTTGCATCCGAATATGAGCAGGCATTTCATTTTTGTAAGGTTTCGTAAACGATATTTTTGTAGTAATGCAGCACGAAGAAACTGTTTGGGTATAAATAAGTTCGCTTTGCTAGGATGTAATTTCATGCGACGATTAAACGCATGCGCGTAACATGATTATTTCCTCTCAAACAATCCTTCCTCACTTCAATAAGAATTCTGAGAACTAATAGGAAAAAAATTCGATGTGTTCAGTGTTTGGAAGAACTAGAACAGTTCACTCTCAGATGATAAACAATATGTTAATTAATTCAGTGATTATTCGTGCTGGTAATGAAGATCACTGTGATAATACAACAATAATGGTTACAATAATAGTAATAATGATATTGATAATAATAATGCGCCGTTTGCATTTGCATTTTCGTTTGATAGCATTCAATGATTACATTCAAATAATTAATCTCTAATTTGGCAATCGATTGGTTTCTGTGCCCAAATAAATCATTACAGAGAAGATAAAGAACAAAGGAACACAGTTTTGCTCAACTATAATATTTGCGTTATGATAATGTGCATGGAAATGAACAGCGAGGTAAATATTGAAACACTTTATGAATATTGTTCGATGCGTCACAGAGCAGACGTTTAAGTGAAACAGCAGGCAACATTTGCTCCTTTGACATGTTTGCTTTCACATTCACAAGAATGTGTGAATGTGCGTGCTTGCTATTGTGCGCGTGCACTCTCAGGTGAATGTGAGTGAGTGAGTGATCGTAAAGGAATAATGTTAGCCATTTAATCGTTGCTCTATGGTACATACACAGGGATGGCAGTATCATGTTTGAGCGATAAGAACCACCGGATGAAATGCATCTTATTGAGGTGGTGTTGCGTTATTGAATTGGATTACGTTCCGTTATCAGTTGGCATATGTCTTCATTTCTCGTCATGATGTGTATGTACGATCACAAACGTTCTCCATTTGCAGTCTTCTCGCCAACTAACCAAACTTTCATTCCAACTCAGCTTTTCATCACCATTACATCATCATCGACCTGGAACACCTAAATTTTTTCTCAGTTAAAAGAATGATTCGTCAGTATTTTCGAAAATGTCAATTATTTGAATCTAGGAATGAACAAGGAGACTACATGCAACTTGCAGTTCTGGAAACCAATTTTGAAACAAATTTTAATCAGAAAAAAGGTTTTGCAACACATTGTGAAATCATGGCTAACAAAAAGGCTCAAGAATGTTTGAGAGTGTTATGAGAACATATGCGTTAAATTTCTATGTGTTTAAAATAGTCAATGCATGACTTCGATCTGACCTGCACCATGCTCCGCATCCCAAAATTGAGTTGGTGAGCGATCAACATTGTTGAAATCCTGTAAAAAAAGTTACGCGTGCAATTCGAGATGTTCATGTATTATTTATGAACGCACTAATACGTTATGCATCCAATGATGCCATCCAACTGACTCACGAGAACGTTAAAACGCGCGGTGAATATCATTCATACTTGAGTAGCACCAGTTAATGAAAAAGGACTTTTACAAAAGTCGAGAATGCTTTCAAAACATTATTTTTCTAAAACACCAACCGACCGCTACTACCAGTTACCGAGCATCTAAGTGAAGTTGGTAACAAACCTGCCACAGAGCAAGAATTAGCTCGCTACTCATTAATTCGCCAGCATGTGTCGATATCATACGAAGCATGAAAACACCATCCTTACGGAGGAACTGATTGGTGAACTTCCGTAATGAAACGTCATCGGTGACTGGCTTTGATGGATGCTCACTCAGCACACGCAAATATTTTCTGATGAAAGACATTCCCTGAAGCAAAATTCTCTGAACTAGTTAGAGTTTTTAATGAGAATATTTTCATATTCACAGAAGAATATTTTATATACAACGGAATTCGTTAGAAGAATGGTGTTGAAAAATGCTTTTCTCAAGAAATTCACTTACCTGACTGGGTATAAACATAATAAGTATCCAGTAGCATGTGTTAAAGACGGTTATCAATCCAACAGTGAGAAACCAGAACCACAAGAAGAGGAATATTTTTTCGTTGAACATATTTATCATCAAAACGCACTGAACTGTATGCCGATGGATATTTCCAAGCACTCGCACCTAGATTCAATTAAAAATAACAATTACCAGCATAATAGAGCATATCCAAATTGCTGCAGCATAAAAATCCAATTCAGTTGAATCTTAGGTTAGTTGAATTTGTTTCTCGAATTGCGACCAATAAGGCCGTTTGGTGATGAACCATTTTATTTGTCGTTTATGAAAATAGCACTGGAATTCGTCGAGAAAGCAGGACTAGTTCAGTGTCACAGTTTTAGTAAGAGAAGAAATTATCTAGAATCTTTTAGAGAAGTATCAAAAAATTCTAAGATCACCTCGAAGTCACAAAGTGTCACCCTAGGAAACATTCCAGTTTGTTCCCACTCCACTTCATGCATAAGATCCCTCAGCAGTGAAAATCCATAGGCGAGGTCATTCGCACCTAGCAAGTGATTAAGCAGAAAAAATTGCAGCATCACGTTGGCAGAGTAAAGCATCTGAAATGTGAATTCATAATAGCGGAACAACAATAGCCTGAATGCTTATTTTGCTCTAATGTCCACAGATAACGCTCACAGCCGCCTCAAGCCAACATCGATTGTTTCGGATGCACTTTTCAGGTGACTGCGGTCAGTAAGAAAAAGTGAAGAACAAGCTCAACTGATGATTAATAAATCAAATACTGATTAGGTGTCACCTTGATGCCTATGTATAACATGGTCACATAACAACCGCAATGCCTGCCACATTGACCTCCAACTTGCATCGATGAGAAGCACGAACGTGAATGTCCTTGTCGATCGAGGTGCGTTAACTGCAAATGCTTGAACTAAATTCGTACTTTGTTCTCTGCCAGCAGGCAACTACCAAGGTGAAGCTTTCAAACGACGAGATTGTAACAACCTGAACTTCATCCTCCATATGTCTTGCCATCGTATAAACCGTACGGCTTTTCACATCTGCGTCCATCAATCTTGCATCACAAGCCATTTGAACGAGGCCTTGCAGGTTAATACCTGCAACGATTTCACCATTCCATTTCCTACTTACTCATTCATCATCAATTTGTATTTATTGGTATGCTTAATTGATGAATGACTTGATCGCTCAGCGGTAAATTATCAACAAATAATTCACTGAATGCAGTAAAACTCGTAAGTGACTCAATAGAAATCTGCAAGTATTTGTTTACGTTCAAGCAACTTGCTGAATTTCCTGAAAGTGCTGCTGCAGTTTGTAGCTCTGCTGTGATCATCGAAGTGCAAAAGACGCATATAAAAGACACGTGCTATAAATGAATATACCTGAATGCCAGTACAGCATTCCTCTCCACAGAATACAAGGAACATAGAAGAGCAATGCCTCAATAGCAAGAATAAAGGGAACCCATTGATAATAGCCAATTTGGCGATTTCTTCTCGAATAAATTTCTCGAGGAATGTCTTCCTGAAAATAATTTGTTGATATTTAACAGGTTGTTTAGGTATTATAATCCAGCTGAACACCACTTGTTCATTTAACGCTAAATTTAAACGTATGATAATCCACATGGTTTGATTAATAATAGATTTGGAGGAAATAGTTGAATCGTGCAATTCGTTCTGTAGAGAAATCAATTACTGCCATGAATCTTTCGAGGCGTGTTAATGACACTGAGAAGCGAAATGGTGGTTGAACGAAAAACGTTCAACAGATTCATGAGATATGCGTTTAGATGATGGATCGTTTTCATTGTTTTTGGTTTTAGTTGTGCTCAAAAATGACAATGTAAATTAGAAAGATATATCATAGCAACTGACGCTCGCTACTATATCATCATCATACACGACATTCAATGAATGACTCACAAAATCACTGCAAACATTTTATGACTGAATTTGCAAGCAACACAAATCTAGATATCTTAACCATTCCTAGCTACCCTACGTTTTCGTGATATTAAGATATCTCTGATCACACTCACATCAGAGAACAAGACAAATCTGTCAGCATAACGAGATTAGTAATTTTGACATGAGCTTCTTTTTTTCAAGGTAATTGATAATTGGAATGCTTGCCTGCATTGGCACCCAGTAGGTGTTTTGCACCCAGCAGTAGTTTTCCGTGTATTGTTCCATGGCATCTGTAAATGTCGCTGGAACCCAACATTGAATGGGAAAACCTAAACAAAAATAGGTTTTGAATGTTTGTGTTGTTCTTTCATATAATCCATACATCAAAAATAACGAATAATCACATTGTGGGAGATAAGCATTCACGTTTCTCACGCTTTAAACCGTCTTCCTGAGTCAATGCCACATTTTTAAGAGGCTTTCTGGCCTGTTCGACGCCAGTGATTAAGCATTGCAAGTAACGATGTTCTATACATGAATAAATATTATGTATGCCCATTTCAAACGATAATTCTGGTTAAGGGGTACAAATTGAAATTAGTTTCGTTTTATCGCCCAATCGAAAATCGCAGCGGAATTCTTCAGCACTTTTTCATAATCAAAATGCACTCCTCTAATTCTTGTCCATGAATCTCACGCAATAATGCAAGACCTATTCATCGACTGATTGTACCCATAATAAGTTTTAACAGCAGCAATAATTCTAAAAACTCGTGTCATTTTGATATCGTTCACCATAGAGTAAAATAGCCACTCACCGACGTATTGCTTGGCAGAGACGAGAAGAGCGAATGATGCCACTGAAAAATGCAATCATTATCGAATTCATCAAAAATTAGCTGACTGAACAAGAAAGAAAAGTCAGCCGTTTATCAAGCACGTTGCGATGTGATTGAGGTTTTACAGCCATCCGAATATGTAGATAAAGGTCTTTCTCTTCTGAAGAAACAGTGACCGAAAAACATATATATGAGGTAAGTGGTAGGAAAGTTACGTTTAGTTGATTCGAGACGTGTTATTTTTATTTGTCAATAAATTCGTATATCTGAACCAATATATGCATGAGAACATATAAATTATATGAGGGACATTTGGCTGCTCAATAATCAACAACGGACGACAACGAGAGAATCTACTGGGAGGGAAACGATATGAAACATTTTATCTTTCAACGTACAGAAGCAGCGAATTACATTGGTTTTTTTTTGAGATAAAACAAATTTTCATAATGCTGAAGCAAGCAAAAGTTGCAGGCTTATGATGTGCATGAAAGGAAAAACACTCTCTGTGTTTCTGATGACAATGCTACTGCACAAAGGCTGTCGCATACGTGGAAATTTTTCGAATCGTGTTTGGAGTTAAATGCTTTGCTTACTGACAGCAATAAGTCTTCATCAAGTTCACTTATGAAATGTGATCTTTATGTTCTTGATTCCCCTCAATTTTCTTTTGATGAACATTCACTGCGTCAAATGAAACTTTTCTCACAACCACTTCGGAAACTTCAACAAATTAGGCAGTTGATGAAAGGAGTCACACTGTTTTGGGCTGATTGAAACCGCTGCAATCGAAAATAATAGCAGCTAGTCAAGAATTTTGTGGTTTGGAAAAGTATGAACTGAATTAACACGGAAACATTACATTTTCAGCCCAAAAAATTTTTTCGATCACCTCGAGAATGTATTTCACATCTGGTATATTATCTGTCTTCAAGTTTCTTCCATTCTACTTTCATCAATCATTAAAATGAGGAATCTACAAAAACTAATTTCATTTTAGTTGCGTTAACCAATCCGCATGTTAATTGGATATCGTAACGCTTAGCTGTCTCAAAAAAAAATGACGAAATGTTCAATTGCTTCGGTTATAGGCACTCACATTGATACACCAAAATGTCACAAGAATAATCGATATTCATGATTAACGTTTTCACTTGCACATAAAGAGATATAATCCAAGGGATGAGAATCTCCTTGGGCAGTTTGTTATCGCTTTTCTCGCTTAATGACTGATTGAGTTAAAAAATTCTTTAAAAATATTCACTACTTTATGTCACTTGACATTGTCGCTTGTTAGTAATTTATCTAATAGTCACTAAACAATGGAATTCTATTGAGTCATACAGGGAAGGTTTGATTTTCAGTGCGAATGTAAATTTGCGTACAGCAGACGCGGAACGTTTTAATTTTTTCATGTAATTCTCTTGTCAGGTGTGGATGACTACATTCATCCAATTGCAACCATTAATACCAACCAGTCAAACAAAATTTTCCAATAAATATGCTTCCTTTACTAGACAATCTGATGATTTGACCTCACATTTTTGTGGTAGTCAGTGGTGGATGCCCCGTTCATGCCAATACAATTCTTTTGCCGTCTTCGGGTTCGTCAGCGGTCACCGCGTTTTAGCGAGTGCAAAGCACGGAGAGAGCTCGACTCGCAGGCTGTCATCACTTTTGACGCATTCCAATTAAGAAACAACTTATTGAAGGAAGCATCGGACAGTCTAGCTCTGCTTCAATAATTATTCCTACCTCCGTTTTCCCTGCTCTCAATACACCGTTTTATGGCATTCAATTAAAACCTTTCGATAAAGACGCCATTAAACACTGTTTCAATCATTTCTCATCAACTCATGCACTTAAAATCACCCGCACTGAAAACATTCAGTTGTCAGGTTGTTGATAATTCAATGATAATGATGAATTTGCTCATGTGAATATCTCGCGACAGAAATATCTGATACGTGTTTTATAGAGTTCCTACGAAGTAACCGTTCATTTGTAAACATTCATGATCAAAATTACATTCATCAAATGAGCACTGTAATAAGTCAAAAGCACTGAAAGATTCAGTGCTGGCTGATCACAAAATGAAATGTGAATGTGCATAATGTGAAAATTATGCGATTGCATGAAATTGCATAGAGAAGAAAAACTGCTTAATTTTCAGGGATTTAAAAATCTACGAAATTCAACAGATAAATGAGTGAGCATTAATCGAATGCTCTTCAAATCTAATGGAGCTTTGTATTTTCATTCACCTGCTGTTATTCCTGATGAGAAATTCATGCTCCTGGAATCCTTTAATGAAACAACAAAACTGCAAGATTCTAACAATTAAATACTAGGACATGGGCATTCGTTATTATTGCCCAATATGAAGAACCGTGATTTTCGTCATCATAAGGATTGTACAACCTATACAATAATTAATCAATTGACTTCTGAACGAATGTGCGAAGTCAAAAGAACAGAGAGCACGAAGCGACATCATTTCCCTTTTGGTATGTCTCCAGACATCAATCTCGGATAACATATTCCTTAGAGATTGAGTTGATACGTTAGCAAAAAACCGTTTACAGCTCATCTTCTGGGGAACATTCACTTATAAGTAGATTCGAAAAAATTTTTCACTCTCTAATCATCGAAATTTGAAACGAACGTTCCTTTATTGCTAAAGTCATTTGATATTTTTACATTAGGGAAATGCCTACATCCCATGTGAGGAAAACAACGAATGCAGATTGTTCTAAGTGAATGAATTGGTAAGCTATTCATCTTGCCTTTATCGTTTCTTCTGGAATGTTTCAGAGAAAGGTGACATATGAATAATGCAGATAAAACACTTTTCTACCATAAGTTCATCGCAAGTTCTTTTGAATATCATATTCTTATGAAAAAATTATTAAAGCGCAAAATATTTTCCAAAGGATACCAACATTATCACACGACTTTTTCGACTTCAAAAACAAACTACTTATTTTCAGAGAAAGCAGTGAGGAGAAATGTTGTAAACATGACAACTAAATCGATTTCTAGAAAATTGAGAAAGTGATTTAAAAAACACAAAAATGCTTACGGATTGTAGTCGTGTAATAATAGTTGAGCTTGTCAACAAAATCATCGTCTAGCCGAGGATAAAGCGCTCGAAACGCAGAGGCCAAATAATAGAGAATCATCGCTGGTCCGAACTCTTTCTTATGACCGTGGCCTTAAATTGAAACTTCATGAACTAGTAGAGATGATGAAGCAGTTTCATAACCTTGTACGATATGTCTTTCCGGGCAGCATTCATTCTGTTTTCACGGTTCCTTCTATACTATCAACATTAACACTCACGTTCAATTTCTTGCGCTTCACAAAACAAAAAATAGAACACATTGTGCTACAAAATGACGAATGATGTGATCGAATCTTACCACCGCCGTGGCCAGCGCCGCCGACGTGGTGACCGTCGATGCGCAGTTGATGTGATCCGTCCAACAGCTTCTGTGCCTGAATAAAATGCAAACCAAATATTCGTATAGGTACACTTCAATAAGCTGATATTATCGTCAGATAAATGAACAAGACTCATTTGGAAATATGCATGACATGTTAATCTGATTGCGTTAAAAAAATATTGATAAGCACATTCGGGTTGAATTTGATTCGACAACGCGGAATCATATCAAGCTTACGACATCAAAGATCTGTGATTTGGTCAAACAATTTGTTTTGTCTATTGAATTCATGCAAGTTTTACAGCATTTAATCCAGTGAAATCGTTCTGGTCATCATATCAGAAATCGTCCTAATCATCATCTGATTGCATCAAATAAATATCACAATTAAAATGATAGCAGTTCTGCATACTGTGAGAAAATTGATGTTATGATATGGAATCTTGAAAATTTGGTACAACAATTTTCCAAATGAATGTTGAGTCATTTTTTAAATCGAAGAAATGTGG